TATTTTAAAACATCAAAAATACGATTTCTCTCAACACTTATAATTTTTTAGATACCAGCTTCTTCAGCTTGTTAAATGTTACAGTAATTAATAAAATCGTTATAATTTAAATTAAAACGTTGCTAGCAACGTTTTAATTTAATAGCAACGTTTTAATTTAAATTATAACGATTTTATTAATTACTGTAACATTTAACAAGCTCAAGAAGCTGGTATCTAAAATCCAGCGAAAATTTCTATAATAATAAAAAAATTATAAGTGTTGAGAGAAATCGTATTTTTGATGTTTTAAAATAATATATATATATATATATATATATATATATATATATATATATATATATATATATATATATATATATATATATATATATATATATATATATAAACACACACACACACCATTGGCTATAAATTAGAGCTCCCTTTTTTTTAATATCCTGTTAGATAAAATTATTTTAAAATTTTTTTAACTTTTTCAATATTTTATTAGTTCTGATTAATCAGTATTATGTTTACTATTTAATTGACATGTTTTTTCCTTATGTCTAATTATATGTAACTTAATAATATCTATATTATTATAGATATTATAATTTATATTTTGATTTTTTATGTCAATCAGTTAATGCTCGCTGCTTCATCATCAGCATTTATTATCTCTAAATCTATTTTTTACTTTGAAATAGTACTAACAAAGTGTAAATTAAATAATTAAAAAGTACTAACATGAGAGAAGAAATAGAGCATGAAACACCAAAATTATGATCAAGAATCTCAGAAAAAATACTCTATAAATCTATTTATCTTCGAAATCAAGGGCTATCTCATCTTCAAATAGCCGATAAGTTAAATATCACATATTTTAAAAACTTATATTGTTATTGCACATATTTTAAAAACTTATATTGAAACAGGTGACATTAAGGATTGGCAACAATCTGGTCGGCCTACTATAACAACACAAAGAAATGAACATTTATTAATTTGCTTAATGAATATTTTTATTACAAGCATTTATAATGAACGTTTATTAATTTGCCTAATGACAGAAAATTATTATCAAATGCTCTCTGCAATAATTTGAAAAATACTTCTGGTATAAATGTGAGTGCAAAAACTGTTGGAAGACTTCTTCATAGAAATTACTATATGTGATGATCTGCATGCAAAAAGCCAAGACTTTCAAAAAAACAGCAAAAGGCAAAGATTGTCTGGTGCAATCAACATAAAAATTGGTCTGATTGCAAGTGGGGAAATATTATATCCTCAGATGAATTAAATGTTGCGGTAGATATGCAAAAATGTTTTATAATGCTTTTGTGATCACCTCAAGAAAGATTTGATTCAAACTGTACATTAAAACGAACCAAGCTAGGAAGTGGTAGTGTAGGCATTTGTATGAATTATGCAAGACTAGGATGCTATTGATTATTTGACTTAATGCTGATAAATATATTGAAATTTGAGTAACTGTCTTCTTCTCTCAATCGATTTATTTAAAGAAAAAATCAGCAATATCAACAAGATAGTGCATCATGCCATAACGCAAAAATATGCAAACAATGGTTTCAAGACAACCAAGTTTCAATGATGTTGTAGGCTAACAGCCCAGACTTAAATTGTATTAAAATTTATTGTCATGGTTAAATCATCATCTTGAAAAAATTGAAATTTCTTATGTTGAACAACTAACAATTGATATAAGGAAATTGCTTGAAAATGTGGCTAAAGAAATACCTTAAAATCTTGTATATTCAATGCCAAAGAGAGTAATGCTTACTACAGAAAGGTGGTCCTACAAAATATTGAAAAAAAAAAATTTTTAAAGGGATCCCTAAGTGCTATAAAGATATGATCTCATATGATAGAGCATTAAAAAAAAAAATGTTTGATGTATATTATTTTTTCTAAAACGTAATAATGAACACACACTAACAAATTTAATTTTCAAAAAAACGCTTTTCTTCGATTAAAGAAAATGCGCCTTGTCCAAAGTTTATTGACTCTACTGCCTCAAAAAACTAACGTTAGTACGTCAAATTAAACAAAGTAGACAAAATGTCAAATTGCAAACTTATTAATTGGTAATTAAATTTAAAAGTAAAGTCGTTTTTTTTTTCTACTAACACATAATTACTTACAAGAATAAGTTTTGTAGCATTTTGTGAAAATATATTTGTATATTAAATTTTTTTTTATAATATTAATTTATATAATTGTGTTTATAACAATTTTTAGCCATGGGCAATTCCACGGCTAAAAATGAATAGAAGTCAAATTTTAAACTCTTTAGTCAATTAAAAACAAATGAATATTGACTTAGACATATGAAAGTTTATTTATAATATTTCCTTAGTAAAAAAATAAATTTATTTCAGTTATTTTTATGGTTTCAAAAGTGACGGTTACTCTCATTTTTGCTTGATAAAAAGAATAATGTTTTAGTTAAATTAACATTTATGTTAAATTGCTATATTTTTTGGTTCAAATTGATAAGGTTGAATAGACATTTTATTAGAAATTAAACTAAGACAGGGCTCGAATTAACGCAAAAAAATCTAATCGCAAAAAAAAAAATTTTTTTTTTTGCTCTCTCCCCTTCCCCCTCTTTCTTATAGCTCTCCCCTCTCTCTTATAGCTCGGTTTTTATTAGCATTTTTATACTGTTTGAAAAAAAAAAAAATAAGGCGTAAAAAACGTTAAAGTAAAAAAATTACTGGTTTTTATTAGCATTTTTATACTGTTTGAAAAAAAAACTAATAAAAAAGAATTAACTAATAATATATTGATTAATAATTATATATTAATTCTTTTTTATTAGTTTTTTTTTTCAAACAGTATAAAAATGCAAATAAAAGTCAGTAAATTTTTTGCTCTAACGCTTTTAAGCATTATTTTAAACATGAAGTTTTGATAAACAAAGATAAAAACCAACTTTTCAACTTTTCGCTTTAACGACCTTGTAAAAATTTTCCACGCAGAGATTTAATGTAATTTTCTTTCAACGTAAAAAATGTTTTACGTTGAAAGAAAATATCCGCGCGAAGGAGCAAATTATCTAATTAGAATAAAAAATTTTGTGTGACGTTCTTTATAATAAAAACATTACTTTGAAAAATTGCTAAAAAAAATGCTAAGCTAGAAAAAAGTAATTAATCGACCAAAAAAAAACGAGTCGCGAAAAGATTTTTTTTAAGAAAAAACTAATCACAAAAGTGTGTGTAGCAATCGCGATCGCGATACGCTTAATACGAGCCCTGTAAGACTTTTTTATAAGTTCTAAACTATTTAAAACTATTACTTGATAACTTTTTTTTAACGACGTCTTTCAACCGAATGCTATTATACTGTTTTTGCAAAACTAATTTAAAAAACTTGATTAAAACTTAACTATTTAATCACGACTTTTTTTTACTTGAAAATCGAAGTAGATATTCTAAAGTTGTTGTGACGTACTAACGTGATTTTTAACGACTAACAATCGAGTTTCAATGGTGAAAAAATAAAATCAAAATGGAGTTGTTTTTTCGTGATTTCGGCAATTGCTTTTTGTTAGCATGCATTTATTATTACAATTTAGGGAAAAAGAAAAAAAACTTACATATTTTTTTTTTATGCTCTTTCATATGAGATCATATGTTAGGAGCACTTAGGGATCCCTTTAATGGTTTTTCTTTTGTAAATTATTGTTTTAAAATATTATTTGAAGTATATCCTTAACTTTTGGCCAATCTTTTTTTTTTAAATAAAATGTTTCATAATTTTTTACTTTTTGGTATCAAAATCATTATGTTTTATTTTTTTTAAAGATTTCACCTATAATATTAAAAAATAAACTAGGTTATGTTTGCGCAAGAAAAATGACAACATGTTTATATATAGAATATAAAATCTATAGAACTGTAAAGTTGTTTTGTTTTGCATTTTAAATAACAAAAATTAAAAAGTAAAGCAAGCTAAGCTTATAAAGCTAAAGCTGTAAACGTTTTTAACATATGTTGAGTTTGCAGGCACTATATGGAACAATCATGTATAATAAATCTATAAAAATGAGAAAACTTTTGAATTTTACTTTAACAATTTTATTTTAAATTAACAAAAAAATTTTTTTGCTATAAATATTGCTATAACTATTATAGATATATACTATAATCAAAATTTTGCTATAAATATTGCTATATATACATATATATATATATATAAATATTGCTATATATACATATATATATATATATATATATATATATATATATATATATATATATATATATATATATATATATATATATATATATATATATATATATATATATATATATATACATATGTTATATACATATACATATATATATATATATATATATATATATATATATATATATATATATATATATATATATATATATATATATATATATATATATATATATATATATTATTTTATATATATATATATATTATTTATATATATATATATATATATATATATATATATATATATATATATATATGTATATATATATATATATATATATATATATATATATATATATATATATATATATATATATATGTATATATATGTTATATACATATACATATATATATATATATATATATATATATATATATATATATATATATATATATATATATATATATATATATATATCTACTATAGCATATTTATATGCGCAATTGCTCACTTTTTTTGCTAGCCTAAATTAAGTGAGGGTTTTTAGAAAACGATGAGGGAAAACAAAGAATAATGAATAAAAATGTTCCTGACCCATACCAAACCCTCAGTCGATGTAGCAGCACTCCACTGCGAGTCAGGCTATTTGTCAGTCAATGTATGTACTGAAGCCCTAACTCAGCAGTATAAGATATATATATATATATATATATATATATATATATATATATATATATATATATATATATATATATATATATATATATGTATATATACATATATATATATGTATATATATATATACGCATATATGCACATATATGCAAACAGCCTTATTTGTTAAATTTTAATTTATTTTTCAGAAATGAGTTTGCACGTCAAATAAGAGAAGAGTCCAGAAGACTACAAGAAACTAGGTAAAACTAAAAACAAAAAAACTAGGTGAGGCCAAACACAGAAAAGTGCAAGAAGTAAAGTAGAAACTGACAAGTAATGTAAAATATTTAATAAATTTTTTAGGGGAGAATTGCAAGGAAGACTTAGAGCTCGTCTTCAAAATGCCTTAACTCCGGAAGAGATTAGGTAATTTTACAATTTTTTTACACATGATTAAGTATGATAGAGTAAAACTATAACTAAAATAATAAAAGTTTGTATGATTATAATAAATAATGTAAATCATATTTCAGGAAGTCTTTTTAATTTAAGTATAATTTGACTTTTTTTAACTTGAGTATAAATTGAGTAAATAAAATTTGTAAGGTACATAAGGTACATGTGTAATAGATGCATAATACAATAATTCATACAAATGAATTGTGCTTCAAAAAATAGTCTTCAAAGTAAAATTTCACAGAATTTTTTTCCACAAAAATTCTTTGGTTTTCATCCAGAAATCAATGTCTGTTGTGAGATATAACTCACAAAATTGTTTTACATTTATATAAGATTGTTCAAAGCTACCATCTTATATAAAAAAAAACAAGCAAAAAGTTAAAAGTGTTTAAGTAATTCTGCTAAATGTGAAAATTAATACGGTTTCTTATAAAACTATTTATTTTATAAAGTTAAAGTTTTGTCAATTTTGTAAACAATTATATTCCTTGTAAAGTTAACTTCCTTCTTAAAACAATTCTTTTTTTTTTTTAAACATTATCTTGTCTTAATGAATTATATTTTCTTCTTAGTTGCAAATTTTGTAATTACTTACAAATACTTTTTTTATAGCTTAAGTAAAACTAAGTAAAAGGAAGTAAATAATAAAAATTTCAGAGAATTTTACACAGTAATTTTCATAATTTGGCACCCTCCCATGATTTTTTACGTAAATTTTTTTTAAAATTACAAATAAGCCATTTTTTACATTTTTATTTTATGTTCTCTACAAGATTGAAGAAATTTATTTAAAATTTTTTTCTTTTTATAAACCAAAAATAATAAGGAGGTCAAGTATAATCTTGAAACCTTAAAAAAAAGTTCAATAAATTCTAATTCAATTCAGTTTATTGAAATCAAAAATTTTTAAAACTTTTTAAATTCAATAATTTCTTTAAAAATTTACGCTTACAAGTAAAAGTTGTAACATTCTTACATTTTCACATCTTACAAGTAAAAGTTGTAAATTCATTAAACAGACCAGATCATTTTATTAAAATAAGTTTTTAAAAAGGTAACTTTTCAAAAACCTAATTTAATAAAATGATCTGGTCTGTTTAATAAAATGATCTGGTTGGTTTTTAAAAAAATAACTTGAAAGTTTTGTCTATTAATAATTATTTTTTTCTTAAATAACTGTAAATTACAAGTATTTCCTGTTTTATAGTTTTATCATTTATTAAAAGTTTTGTTTATTATTTTTTATTACAAATTTTTTATTGTTTTTATTTATTTTTATTACAAATATTTTATCTTAATTTCTTTTTATTACAAACAATTTGTCTTTATTTTTATTACTAACATTTTATTTTCTTTATTTTCTTTTCTTTCAAATATTTTGTTATCTTTATTATATATATTACAAACATTTTATTGTCTTTGTTATTTTTTATTACAAATTTTAATTATCTTTATTATTTCAGAAAACATTTAGCAGAACTTGAACATCAGCACAATGACGCAGAAGTTAAAAGAAAACAAAGGGAAAAAGAACTTGTTGATAGTATCAATGAAAAGATTTCACTTATAGACGAACAACAAAATTGTTTAAATGATCTTGTAGAGAAATGCAAGACTGTCAAAGATAAAAACAAACAAAGTATTGAGCAAGAAATTAAAAACTTTTTTCAATTAAGAAGAACTGAGACATCAGCTCTTGATATAGAAATAAACAAGTTTATTAACACCAAATCATTGGATTGTACTAAAATAACTGAATTAAAGGAAGTTTGGAATGGAGAGTCATTAAAATTATTCCATCAAGAAAATATATGTGACATTTTAAAAAATGAAATAAAGGAATGTATTTTTGCATTAGATCAAAAAGCAACCTTAAGTAATGAAGACAAAATCAGCCTAGAAGCTCGAAAAAGTCAGTTACTTTCTAAAGCTTGCATTGAACAAGCTAAGCTTGAAGAGGTTTTCCATAGCAAAGCAAAAGCACTCAAAAAGTATGAGCAAAATTTTTTAAATCGATATCAGTTTTTACTTTGGGAAAAAGAAGCTATAAATGATAAAAGCTTGCAAAAGAAAAATATGCTGGATAATGAAATAGCCATTCTTAAAGAGGCAATGTCAGAAGCCCAAAGTCAGTTGGATGAGATTAGTACTAAATTTTTTGAAGTTGAAGCTCAAGAAAATGAAAAAATTGCATCTGAGCGTTATAAAGTGGATCAAATAAAGAAAATTTCAATGAAGCAGCGCATAGAAGACCAACGAGATTTTAATGAAAAGGTTCAGCAATATAGAAATTTATTAAGAAAAGGTCAAGATTCTATAGATGTAAAAAATGCTGAAATAGATTTGATTCGAAAAGAGTTAAATGCTATTCTCCTAACAAAAAATGAACATTCAAAGTCAAAAGCTGAAAGTTTACAAGGAAACTTAAACAGCATGATTGAAGATCTTGATGAGCTTAAAAAAAATTACCTCATTCTAAAGAATGAAGAAGAAAAAATAATTACAAACATGTTGGGAGAGCTAAACAATAAAAAAGCACAAATCGAAAATAACATTAAAATGGCTGAAAGAGTTTTGAATGAGCTTCAAAATCTTTCTAGTGAAAAGATTAATGCACTTAAAAAACAAGTTAATTGTGCAGAAAATAATGTTTTTCATTGTGAAGAAAACATTGCTAAGTGCAATCAAAATTTAAATGAAATTAATAAATGGTATGATGAAGCTAACGCTCAACTTGACACTGAGCTGCTTTATGTAGCATACCTTGTGGAAAAAGAGCTGCAAGGAAAAGAAGAGTTTCAGGATGTTTTGAGTTCAATAAATGTAGCCAAGCTCAAATTAGAGCAAATTACAAAAAACTATTCAGAAAGTATTGAGAATTTTAAAAAAGATTATGAAGTTGTTTCAAAACCTTTAACTGAGGCCAAAGATCAAGCACAAGTTGTTTTAGAAGATTTATTGTGCGCACGGAATGTTGCAGAAATGACATTGAATGAGTTAAGAGAGCAGTTTTCTGTTGAGCGTAAAATTGAACTAGAGGAAATTTATAGTTTAAAGGAAAAATTACAAGGATTATCTGAAAAATTTGTCAGTCCTGAAAACTATAAAGCACGTGACAATAATCTAAACTCAAGTATTGTTTCAAATGAAAGTGATTTCAATATCAGTGAAATACTTGACAAGCAAAAACAACAGTAAGTTCTACTTTTTTAAATTTATTTTAATAGAAATATTACCAACTTGTTATAAATAAAACACAGTATAATATTTTTGTAATTTAGAAGGAATATTTTGTTCAAATTTTGTGAGGTAAATAAACAGTTAGAGTTTTATGGAGAAAAATAAATCATAGGTTACATACACAGTGGCGAACCCAGAGTTTATTTAGGGATACCAATTTTTTTTGGAGATTTTTTTTGGAAATTTTTTTGGAGTAGTGGGGGTGTTTTGATAGCTTTCTATCCCATCCTCCCCCTTCCCTACTATAGTTAAACCCAGTACTGCCTTAATGATTTTTAAGTAACATTTTTTTTGTGTTAACCTTGTTTAGTTTTATCTGAAAGTAACAAGTTGATTTAAATTAGCATCTAATTGTAAAAGGCATTTCTTTAAATACATGAATTTACCAGTGAATGTTTCTTAGCGCATAGTTGCGCTAAGAAAAAGTATTTTATTTAAGACTTTAATAAAGGTTGCAAATACTATGCAGTTTGTAAACATTTATTGAAAACTACTTGAAGTATTTTAAACATTTAGTATCTATATGTTAGTAGTTTTAATTCTAATAGGTATCAAATGTTTGAAATACTTTAAACAGCTTTTAATCAATATTTACAAATCTCTTACTATTAGCAAAATTGACATAATTGTAGTTTCGCTTATGTCTTGTATTCAAATAGTTATTGTCATTACATTATATAAATAACTGTTCGAATACTAAACATAAGCCTTTAGTAAACTTATTAACTAATATTTTCATTTTCATTTTGATTTAAATATTATTGTCCATAAATTATGTAATACTCAATTTATTTTTAAAAAAGAAGTAGGAGATCATAAGCTTTTTACAGGATGATTTTCTTTAAACTTAATGAGCTATTTTGATTTTTTATTTAACTTAAGCTTTTTAAACTTATTTAACTCTCTGTGAAGGAAATCGTTTGATTTTTTTTTGTTTTGTCTATTAGTGAAATTTAGCATTGCATAATTTATGGACAATCCCTTAGCGAATCTGTTCATTTAACTTTCGATAAAAGTTAAGAATTTACACAGTGAGTTATTAACCTTTATTGCACACAGTGTTGTCTGTCAATCAATATCTTGCACTATAAACTTCATCTTTTCTCTTCCAATAACTTCCAACTCTAATATTAGTTGCATACAGCCTTGTTGGAAATGAAGAAGTTGAAGAGAAAAAAAATAGTGCTTTAATGCTTTCAAATAAAAGAGATTATTATGACTTTATGATTAAAAATGTATATTTTTTTAATCATTAAGTATCTCTTAGTAACTCTCTATCTAGTAGAGAAAACAGCTAGCTGGTTTTAAAGTTAATGGCAACACAGAAAACTTTTCTTTAACAATCAACCAAAAAATCAGCTAAATTCATTGGCTATGAACGCAAATGCAGTCTTGTTTTAACATTCTATACATATTTAGTTTACAATAATTCTTTTATAAATTATTATAATTGATTTATTATTCGTTAAATTTTCGAAAGAGATAAAAAAAAGTTATTTTTTAACTAATTGTTTATATATTAAACTCATTTTGTAGTAAAATTTTTCGTTTTTGGTTATGACAGTACAGAATATTTTTCACTTCTTTTTTTAGAAATATTTGCAAAATATTCTAAAAAAAGAAGTGAAAAATATTGCTAAATGCAATTTATTAAAAAACTCCTTACGTGTGATTGCTAAAAAAAAGTTCTGGAAAAAGGTGGTCATAGAATTTTTTTAAAAGCTGTTTTGAAGTACCAATTTTAAAAGGTAATGAAAAAAAATATATTCTTAAACTTTTCAATATGGTCTCTAGAATAATGGCAATCAGAAATTCCCTCCAAGAACTAATGAAGCTATTCTTAGAAGCAGGAGCTTTAAATATAGAAACTTCCTAAGACCTCTTAGAAGTATCGCAGCCATAAGTAGAACAATTAGCGGCAGATCTTTGAAAAATTTAAACAAAGAGTTGGTCAAACGAATACTGCAAGTAGCCAGACTATCAATTTCTTATGACTATGTTTTAACACTATCTATTTCTTATGACTATGTTTTAACTTCCCTTTTCCCATATAGTAACATGTCAAGTCAAGTCTCAAGTCAAGTCATATTACAATAAAAGATTCCCGTGCATGTGATGGCTATCAGTGACGCGCCTAGGCGTTTGAAGGCCCCTTCCAAAACCTGTCATAAAAACCACGAAATGCCTCTTACAAGCAGGGCATGGGGGAACCTTGCCATAGCTGTGGTAGCTACTTTCAAACCGTCAACTTACAATTATAAAATACAGCATAATATTATTTATAATTTTACTTTATTACTGAAGTAGCTTTAAAAGTAAAATAAACCATTTGTAATATAACAGTTAAAAGTAAAATAAACCATTTGTAATATAATAGTTAAGAAAAAAATAATACACAATACAGTGACATAACACTTCATAATTTTTATTTACTTCTTAATCATTCTAATGAAAAAAGATTACAAATGTCGATTTTTATAAAAAATTATAGTTATATATCTGTGTTAGATTTTAAAAACACTAACTGATAGTGTCAGAATTTAAACTTGCATGCTTAGGGTTCATATTCAGGCCACCCTGACTGAATACCCTTTCAACAGAAGCACTGCTTGCAGGTACCACAAAAGCATACACTTTAGAGAATTGGTAATTTTTGCTAATACATTTTCAAAAATTGGAGACAATCTATGTCTAAGGTATTGAAATTAGATGCATACACTTCATTGATCAGTCCTCATAGCAATGAAACTGAGTATCAAAACTTTTAACAGTTGGTTGTGATGTAGTTTCAGTCTGAATGACAGGTGTAGATCTACAATAAGAGTACAAAGATGAATTAATTCTAGGCTTCTTAGAGGGTAGGTTTATAACCAAAATTAACTATTCCGAGCACTGCAGGCGTTTTTTGAATTTTTATAGCACTCATAGTTTTAAGATAATTTATGAAACTTTATAAATCACCGAAATTAGTAGCAAACACAATTTTAAATACTTAAAATTAGAACAGCAGTGCAAAGACTTCGGGAATGGCGGACTTTTTTATAATGAATTTTATAAATAAATTACATGAAAAAATAATAATAATAATAAAATGTAATTTTGAAAGTAAAAATAAATAAAAGAAAAATGAAGATTGTTAAGAAAAGAAAAAGAATTAAAAAAGAATTCAAATAAGAAATTAAAATCACCGAACATTTATAAACAATAAGTTTCATGAGTTAAAGAAAAAATTAACCAATGAGAACGCACACAAAAATGTCGGAATTTTTTGAAAGCGGAAGAGCCTAAATGCGATATTTTTCTTCGGATCTCGCTTAGACTGCAAACTAGTTAAACGTAAGTTAAAAGAAAAACACATTTGAAAATAAAAAATAGTGAAAAAACAGTTGAATTATAATAGAAAATATATTGCTCCATTTTTGAAGAGACAGAAAATAATAATTTTAAAGTTGCTAAGCCGAAATTAACAAGTCTCCAGTCAAGTTGCAAGTCTCAGGGCAAAACCCAAGACGAGTCTCAAGTCACTTAATTTATGGTATGACTTAAGTCGGACTCGAGTTTGAGTCGGTTGACTCGAGTCTCCAGCTCTGATACACATTTGTTGCTTTTTTTGGTCAACCTAAATCAATATAGTTTTTTTTTGTAAAAAGGGGAAGAAAATGAAGGGTAATGAAAAAAAGCTTGCTGTTTCAACCCTCAATCAATATAGCAACAACTCCCTTTTGTGTATGTTCTAAAGCCTTTGCAGCTTTTAGCGTTATATCAGATTGCCAACTTAAATGTACTTTTTTTGTTATATGTATATTTATTTTATGCAGTTTTGCCTGGTTGTTAAATAGTTTATTGATAAACTGTCATGAAAAATCAAAAACTAAAAAACAAAAATAATATTAAAAAAACTTTTCTTTTAAATAAATGGCTACTTGGCAAAACTAAAATCAATGTAACTTACAGCAACTATTTCTTTTAAAATTTGTTTTCATATATACAATCCACTGTGTTAAATCTTAAACTATAGTTATTTTTAATGAAATACATGAATAATTTTTAATAAATTACCTGAATAATTTAGACAACAATTGTGTGATTCACTTAACATGGAAAAACTATCAAAAACAAAATGTTTAAAAATATAAAAAAAATACTCAATTTTAGAATTGAAGATGAAATGTTTGAAAAAATCATTAACATGGAAAGTGTGATGCAACAAGAGCTTACAGAGTTAAAACAGAGGGAAATGCACCTTTTAGCCTGCTTACAAAGTGACAAAGAAAAGTTGCTTCTAGAAAAGTTCTCTTTGGAAAAGGTTTTTTTAAAATTAGCTTATAATAATAACTATAAAATAACAATTATAAAATTTTTTAACTATTTTAAAATTATTTTTATAACTATTATAAAGTTAAAAATAAAATAGTAATTTTGTATTCAAAAAACTTAATTTCATTTGTTTTTATTTTATTTTTTTAAGAAAGAAGATTCAAGTGAACGTTTTCTTGAAGTGGCACGTTTGTTAAAAATCAAAGATGATGAACTGAAAGTAGCAAGAGATATTGCAACCAGAGAAATAGAAAAGCTTCATAATGAACTTGCAAATGCAAACAAGTAATTTTTATCATCATAATTAAAGTATTTGTTCTTATAGTCAGTTATACATTAAATCTTCTTATAGTTTCTATTTAAATGTTTTAAAATCTTAAAGAATTTTTTTTAATACTGTTATACACTTAAAAAAAAACTTTTTTAGAAATTTAAAAAGAAAAAAACTTGCTAAAGAATTTTGATTTTTTATGTCCCTCATTAACAACATGAAACATAGTATGGTAGGAGCAAGTGTACATTTAGTTACACTTGTTCATTAGGGTTATGACATTTTTGCAACTTTGTATGGCCATGGTTCTGTAAGGTGAGTTTTGGTATAAAACACTGAAATAAACATTCCTTTATGATTTCATTTCAAAAAACCTCACCCAAGACCTAAAAAAAACTGTTTTGGAAATATTGCAATATAGTAAAATCTATTTTTTGTTACACAAATTTCAGCAAGCAAGTCAGTCTGGAAATAGAAAAAAAGCAAGTAAGGCATATATATCTCTATAGTTCAACCATGTATTACTTATATTAGATAATGCTTTAAAAGTAATGTAGAGAAATATCCCATGTTCTTGGTATATTAGTAAGCATTTTCCAGTTTATATAAAAACTGCATATCTGCTCCATTTAGTGTTTTTAAATTTTATATCTACATCACTTTGTTGAAAGTCATTTTTTAGATTTGCTTTGTTGTCACTGAATCCTTGCATAAAATCATATAATGTTGGGAGATGCTGTCTTTCCACCAAGAATTTGGTCAACTGAATGCTTTAGTACTAAATCCAAGACATGATTTTGAGATCTTGTTTACTGTGGTATAGGAGTGTCATTTTCTTTAAATTTATGTTAGACCAGTACAACAATTCCATTTCTCACTCCAGTATTAATACTTGCGGTATCACAGATTATAATTTTAATGCTTTTCCACAAATGGTATTGGTCTAACACCTCAGTTATTCCATTAAATATTGTTAATGCTTTTCCATTACTAAGAGTTTGTGCTGCTAGGCGAACTTCACAGTGCTGATTTTTTAATGCAATAACTTGCATTTCTTGCTTTTTAATTTTTTTCCATCAAAGTGCAGAGCCCAGTTTTTATCTTTAAGTGGTTCTTTAAAATACTGCTGCCTTTTCTGTGATTCTCTAACAGATACCTTATATATTGCAGGCTTGGGCTGGAGGTGTGCGATTTTAAGTCTTTATATGACCACAAAAATAAAATTTTATTTTGACAATTTAACCACAGTTTTTAACAAATGTGCTGAAAAAATTGATAAAACTGATAATTACGTTGAAAATGAATAACTTTAACACGTTTATCTTAACTAACATTTTTATATTAGCAAAGCGTTTTTAAAAAAGTAGCTAATGATGTTAAATAAAGCATTATAGAAAGTGGTATAAAGTTTTACTTATATTATTTAATTATATAAAAAATTTTTATAAGTAAAATAATGAAAAAAAGTAAAAAATATAAAAAAAAACAACTAAATTTTACAAGCGACGACTTTAAACAGCGACGGTCTCTTTAATAAACTTTATATAAAAATTATTGAAGTTAATTCACTCGAAAAGTAGAAAGATTTTGTTCAGAAGAAAAAAATTTTTTTTTTGAAAGCTGTTTGAATTAAATAATGATCATTACTTATGTTTTTATCTTATTGAAACGCATTTAAATAAAGTAACAAATCTCTGCTAATGACTGAAATTTATGAATAATATATATTTATATTTATATAAGTATCTATTTTTTACTGTTTTAAATGTTTTTAAATAAAAAAAATTACATTGACTTTTTAAATAAATGATTTGTTTTTTCTTTTGTTTACATTACTGCAAAGAATTGTTTAGAATCTTTTCTTTAACTTTTAAATATGCGCATTTATTTAACAATCATTAGCTGTAATTTGTTATTTTATTTAAAAAAGGTTTCGCATAGTATTATATTATAAAAACAGTAAAGATAAATGATTCAAAGTTATTTATTCTAAACAATCTTAACGTAATCACACGTAATTTAGATAATCTTATCGTTATAGCTTATTATTTATTTTAGTTTTTTATTTTAGCTGTTTCTGTATTTCTGATTTTTCTTTTTTTAACAGTACTTTTTTGGGGGTTTTTTTGGGTACTGATTTTTTATCTTTTAAAAGAAATTGATATCTTACAATAATTCTCTTTTCTTTCGGAATTCTATATTATCCGTCAATTGGATCATTGATTGTTACTAATAATTTCATTTGAGAGTCACTTTTTTGGTATACTGTCAAGTCCAGGTACCAGAATTTTTTTCCAACAGCTTCTTGGCTCTTTATATATAACAGTTTTACAAAAGGTAACTTGAACGTAAACACACTGAAAGCAATACCAGACATGCAACAACTAAAAGTGGAAACAGATAATACACCAATAAGAAAATATTCACAGAGAATTAATAGTTCCCAAAAAACTAAAACTAGCTTGTTTTTACAGCCTCACACTTCTAACAAAATATTTCAATATGTGTCCTGTGGAAGATTTTTGTAAAGGAAAGGCAAAAATGTATTATATATCTCATATTGCTCATTGTGTAGTGCTAGGGCATTGTAAAAATTTAAAAAAAATTGAAAATGTCATAACCCTAGTGTACATTTACAAGTCTGACTAAAATATATTAAAATATAACACTAATTAAAAGATCAAGTGTACATTTTTGGTAGAAAAAGTTAAGAAGTTGACTTTAGTTTAGGATTTGGCAGGTATTAACTTTAGTTAAGGATTCGACAGGTATTATTGTATAGAAGATATATCTGCAAAAAAAGTTTTAAATATTACCTGTTTTTTAAACATACTTTTTTTTCTTAAGTGAAATTATCATCCTTCAGGAAAGATTGGAAAAGTATGACTCAAATAGTGTATGTAGCTTTTTTTTATGTATTTATATTAAAAGTCATTTAATGTAGTTTGTTTAAATTTTCTTTTTTAGTTATATATTGTATTTAAATTTGTATAGTATTTATAGGGCTGTTGATATGGGAAATAAGACAGGATGTTTCCCAGGAACGATAGTAAACAAAATTAAATAATATTTTATATGGTTTTTTTAACTGGGTCAGAAAATGTCAAGGAATTTACTTAGTGGCTAGAGAAAAAAATTGTTTTTTTTCTTAGTGAGTCAGTAAATAATAAAACATTTTAAGCTCTGCATTTCTTTTATACATAAGATTGTAATAAATTGTAAATATTTTTTTAATTTTGAATATCGAATTTTGGTAACGTTTTAAGTTAATCATTTTAAATATAAATTATTTTATTGATTGTTTAATATTTTTATTTGAAGTTTTCTTTTTTTTGTATAAAATTTAGTAATCTACCATCTAATACTTGTCAAAATTTGAAAAATAAAAATTATTCATCTTTTTAATTTAGTATTTTAAATAAATGTAAGCCTTACTTCTATATAATTTTTAAGCGTAGCAAAACTGTGATCCCAAAAGGTCCGTAACTGTAAAGGGGCTGAGTCAAAAGCCTTATTATAAAGCGTGAAAATTATTAAAAACATAAAATTATTGTCATTGGTTGTGTGGGGGATAGAGAGTTTTTGAAAATCTTGCAGGGGGCCCAGGATTTTGAAGTAATGCTACAGTTTTTAAGCTTTACTAAGTTAATTAGGAATAAGGAAAATAATAAAGGTTTATGTAAAGGACTTATGAAAAGATAGTTCAAAAACAGAAAAAGATTAAAAATGGTTTTGTTACAAAAACTAAAGATGCCACAGAATTATCTTTTGAAACACACCCTCAGACACTCAATCAAGTAGTTTAGCAGATGTAGTTGAAATACAATTTAATTGTACACGATTTTAAAAGACAAACCTGTTAATTTATCAAAATAGAGGTAAACTTAATGCAGAGAGTCAATGAATACTTTAGCATATTTTTGTGGATAAAGTGATAGCTCTGTTACTAATAGTATTAATACATTTTAGGCAATGTTCCCAGACAGCAAGGTTGCATCTTCAATAGCACTTGGCAAGGTTCCATTGTAGATGCAACCCTGCTGTCCAACAAAAAAAAATTAAATGTATTGATAACTATAGAATTGCGCCTTACTTTAGAGAACTTTGAAAAATACAATGCTGTGCATCAGAATGGCTGGCTGCCATGATTGCTGCTTTTATAATGAGAGTTTTAACAAAGTCATTTAAGAATCTGAAATGGATTTAGTAACAAGATTTTTGGACAATCTGAGCAACAATGCTAAAGTACAATATTGGGATTCTATGTTTCTTGGACATGCCACTGCAACTGATGAATTATCTGGTTTGGATTTATCTAAACAAGCACAACTTGGAATGGATGGTTGTAATATGAACTGGAAGGCTCTCAGGGAAATTCAATTGGAAATAGAAAAAGCTGGTATTGATAAACTAGTAAACATTGGTGGTTGTAACCTTTGCATCATTTATGGAGTTTTCCAAGCAGCTATTAAAATCACAAGTTAAGGACTAAAGGCTGTCATGAAAGGATCTTTTCAAGTTTCTAGAGATGAATGTCTTTTAACTTTCTAACTTTTTATTTTGCAGTTTAAGTCTTTAAAATCAGTATAAATAAGAGAACTCAGTTACAATTAATTTTTCAAAAACATTTACATTTACAATTAAATCTTATAAATGTCTTTCATAGTATTTATATCATTTTAGAAAAATTTAAAGAGATAAGGCTAAATATAATAAAGTTGATATCTGGCATAACCCAGCAGCTTTTATAATGCCATCATCAGAGTTATTTGGTTCTAAAAAAAGCAGTTAAAGATGAACTACTTGTAGTAAAGTTTTTATTTTTCTGCTTTATCACAAACCTTTTCCTGCAATATCTTAAAAAATATTAAACAGATGATTTCCAACAGAAGAGGAACTTCAGAGTTTATTACATAAAAATAAAGTAAAATATGCAGGTGTAAAAAAGTTTAAACAAAAAGCTGCAATTATAGTAATTGTTATGTTGAAAAAATTGACTCAAATGAGTCAGAAAAATTTTTGCCACAAAATTCAGATCTCTTGTTAGTGTTATCTTAAGGTTCAGAAGATATAAAATTTTACAATTGCTAGAGCATTAGACTAGGTTCTTTTTTCATAAATCCTCTATCAATATACTAAAGAAGTTAAAATCTGTTTTAACATTGAAATTTGTTACAAGTGATGTTCAAACAAGTGTAGAAAGAGGATTTAATGTTAATAACATTGTAATATAAAATATATTGAATTGAATATAAAAGACTTTGATGTTGATATTGCTGTTGATGTTGATATCTTTTTTTTTTTTCAACATCTTTGCTTCCAACAAGGCTGCAAGCAACCACTATAAGAGTTGGAAGTTACTGGAAGAGAAAAGATAAAGTTTACAGAGCAAGAAACATTGATTTTGACATTTTAAAATATTGCAAATTATATGAATCAGAAAAGCAAGATTAAGGAAGCGAATTCTAAAGAACTGATGTTCGAGGAAAAAACTAGATGAATAAGAGTTTTTGGAGCACTTGAAACAGTCACAGAAAAAAGGATGAGACTTAATTGAATGACAAGTAACACAAGTCTTTTAATGAAGGGTAGATGATTCATCAAGTACCATTCATAATTATAAAAAGATCTAAATTATTATGATAATGATTAGCTGGAAAAAATTTTTTATCTGAATTAAAGTTCACTAGCCACTGTGAGCCCCATGTTGTAGCAGAAGTGAGATCCTTTTCAACCTCAAATCAAGCCCCTCCAAGCAATCAGAGAGTGTTGGCTTCTTATCATGACAAGAATAAATGGTAGTATCATCAGCGAACAATGCCACTTTAGATGTGAGATTATCTGGAATCATTAATGTAAATTAAAAAGAGTATAGGGCCAAGAATTGAACCTTGAGGAATCCCTGAGGTTACAGGATGTGAAGAAAAGTGCTGTCCATCGAGGACAACTTTTATACTATGATTGGAAAGAAAGGATTCAATAATCCTAAAGTTGTTACTAAATACACCTTAAGAAGAAAGCTTAAGGAGAAGACCAGCATACCAAACTTTATCAAAAGCATTAGAAATGTCAAGAGTGATAGCCTTAACTTCTCCACCTCTATCTAATGCACTATAAAACCTATTGTTTATTACTATTAGTAAATCAGCTGTAAAACGAAAAAATTGCTCTCCAGAATTTTTAAAAATGGGGAAAACAGATGACGGTTTTCAGTATCCCGGAAAAGAAGGCTCTGATAAGCACTTGTTAAATAGTTTTGAAAGTATAGATGATAGCTCCAGAGAACACTTCTGCAAGACTACAACAGGTATGTTGTCCGGGCCACAAGCTGTAGAAGAGTCTTAGCAGGAAATCATTTTTGATAGAGAAGCTGGAGTGATATAAATGCCAAGCAATGGATCAATCTGTTTGAGGGCTATATCAGGTAGAATGCACTCCACAGGTAGTGGAATCAAGAGATGATAATAATGAAAAGTTCTTAGCAAACAATTTGACTTTGTCTTTAGGTGAGGTGACTAAGTTATCTCACCTAACAAGAGAACCATACAAATGAGGTGGAATAAAGATTTGCCCTTATCATTGATACTGTTAAAGGTTCTCCAGAAGACACGAGAGCCTAATTTTTGTGATGAAATACGAGATTTCATGACCTGAGAATAGCGGGCTTTAGCGTTAGACAAAACCTTTTTACAATGGTTTCTAGCAATAGTAAATAGATGTCTGTTTTCTGAAAAATTGTTTTGCTGATAGATATGCAGTGAGTGAGAACTGGAGCTGTTGAGTAGGAATAAAAGATTCCATGCCAGCCTGAATCCATGAAGTTATGTAAGAAGCGCATTTTTTCAGCAGGGAGACAAAAGATTTCTACCCTAAGACCATCACAAAGAAAATCACAGAAAGAGTCCCAGTCAGCTTTAAGGTAGTTGTAAGAAGTACGATAATAGGGGGATTGTAATGACGAAGAAGAATGAGTTAATAGTTTTAGAGAGATCAAACCTAAGGGTGAATGTGGAGAAACTGAACACTGACTAGGATTAGAAACAAGATATAAGTTGAATAGAAAAAATAAATGATTGGATTTGTCCGGAAAGCAAGTTAGAAAGTTGACTATTTGAGTTAGTGATTGAGAAAGGCAAAAATTGTGGGCCTTAACACCTGCAGAGTCACTGACACAATCACCCTGTGATGAGCATGACCAACAACAAGGATATTGGTTGATGGATAAAGAGAGAGGGCTTGGTCAATTTGATCAGGAATAACATAAAAAAAAAGTGCAGTCTTGAGATAAAGGAGAGCGATATAAAACAAAGAAAAAGGCGATAGAGTGAAGTGGTGTTAATCAAAAGCACATAAAAGAATTAGTCAATGGATTCAAACCTAGTTTTCCAACGAATGTAAATGCCCAGGCCAAACATGTGACTATTGGAGTTTTTATGAATTAAATAAAGATAACCATCAACACTAAGATCACAAAATGAGACAGCTGAACTCAAATTAGTCTCACAAAGAGCAAGTAGGTCTGGTGAACTTTGCAAGAGATAAGACTCAACATAAGAAAAGTTACTTCGAAGACCATGAATACTAGTGAATGATAGGTTTAGAGAACTTGGTGATGACAATAGTTTTTTGTGTTTTATAGTTTTTGGTACTTTAGTCATTCTAAATTTGTTAAAGAACTTGACTTAAAAAATAGATTGTACTCAGTGCACTATTTAATATTCCAAGTAATTACCTCTTTATTAATAATAAACCCTAAGCCGTAACAAAGGGTTCCAATTGTGGCCACAACAATGCACACCAAAAGTTTCTGTCATAAAAACAGAGACCCATGCATTGGGTCAAGAAGATCCAGCATTCAACATCCTAAACTGGAAACAATGTATTAAAAATACATCTGCCCCAGCCTAATAGATAAAGAAAGGATGTGAGGCTGGTCAACAGATAGAATCTGTTTACTTCTTAAATCTTTGCCTAGGAGGCCTTCTACAAGACAGTAGCCAAATGCATTTAACATCTGCCCAAGATGAATATTTTTATGGAGACACCATCTCAGACACTCATCAATAAGTTAAAGAATTAAATTTGCTTAAAAACCTAACTAGAAAAATATTTCTTTTGAATAATATGTACTATTAATGTTTCACAACAGTTTTCATGTTCCTAATTTTTGAATAAGTGAAACAACATTGATTTTTAAATCGTCTTTTAAAACAGTATATTTTAAGGAAAGTTTTCATATTTTATTTAATATACTTTTTTTTGCATTTACAAACATATTTTTATTTTTACTCTAGAAATGGTTAATTACAGAAGTTTTGTATTTTCTTTATGAAAAACTTTTTTTGTCCATAATACCAATACGCAGTTTAATTTTGGGCCTTTATAAATTGGAAGAAATATGCACACATTTTTTTCTTTTTATTTTTTGGCACTTTCTTCCATTTGAATACCCTCAACTATTTTTTTTTTCTTTAGCTAAATTAGCAACATTAAAAAAACAACACTTGTTTATAAAATTGTACACACAAAAAACAAATTTTCTTTTTCCAGAATATACTTTTTTGGGTAATTTTTGGTTTAATTCAATTTATTTCAATAAATTTAACAAAAACTAGAAATTTTTCAAAATTATTAATGAAAAGTTTTGCACAAAATAGTATAAAGTACTGTTTTTATTTACTATAAAGTAAATTATAAATTAGAGTTGAATTTTGCACAAAGCAGTATTTATTTTAAAATAGTATTTATTTTAAAAGTTATTTTAATTTATTTTTTGTTAATGATAGATTTCAAATTAAAAATTTACTTGGTTTTATTTGGTTTTACTCATTTTTATTTATCCAAAAAAAAAAAAAAAAAAAAGTTCAATTATTATTGAGTTTTTCTCTGAATATGTAAAAAGCATTAAGAGGCGTCTTAAAAAGTGACTGTAGTATAATTTTATAAAATATTTTTTATCATTAAATAAAGTTATTGTGTTTTACTTGCCATGTGCATTTTCTATAACAACTTTCATGATTTATCTACTTTGGCAAGGATTAACAATGGTCGATTGTTGATAATTATTACAAAATGTATAGAAACACAGTACACTTTTTTTAAATGTATAAATACATAGTACATATTTGTAAAATGTATAGATACACAGTATACATTTTTCTAAAAAATCAATAAATTTTTTTGTTTAAATTAGTATTTTTAACTACTAAAAATTTTCATTATAGAGTTTATTATCTCCTGACTATGAAGATGATGATCTATCTGATACAGAAGTTTCCCAACTGCTTATTAGAGTGAACAAGAGTGTAAGTAACAAGATTAATTTAGTGAATAAGTCTATTGCTAAAAATATAAAAGACTTGCACAATCTTTATATAAGTATCTATAAATCTCCTCAAGGCCCAAGTAAAGCCACTATAGTTCAGGAGACCAATATTTTTATTTTCTATTTATAATTCTAAAATGTTATTAAAACATTTTCCCAAAACATGACCAATGTAGCTGCGTGTCAGTACTGGGGCACAGTGAATCAATGAACACAGCTGTAAATTAATGGTAATTAGAGAGTAAAGACACTGTAATTTTTGCATACCTTTGGTAATTAGATTGGTATAAAATCAAGAAAAATAGACATTTTGAAAATTGAGAAGAAAAAAAAAGTATTTTGCGATAACAAAACTTATTAAACCATCTAAAAAAACAATTTTTTTTTAAGAAAACAAATAAACAGAGTGTATCATCATAAGCTGTTAAGTCCACAGGAACGATAAAGGGAAAGATAAAATGAAAAGGAACTGTAGCAGTCTCCAGGTAGTAATGGTCTGGATAATTCTCCAAGAATATCTTGAAGTGACACTTGAGAAATATAATCAACTGTTAAAAGAAAATAAAATCTTTTTTTTCATTGAAAAAATGATATCTCAAAAAAACTCTCACTTGTATCTTCACTGTGCTTAGTGCTAATAATTTTACCAACATAAATAACTAAATTTTTTTTAGTAGTAAGTTTGAATAAAATGTAATCACAGGGAATCAATTTATTTTGGTCTCGAAACAATGTCTCATTTATGAAACTGCTGGTGCCATCCATTTCACTATCTGTTAAGTCACAACTCAAGAAAGTTGCATCACCTGCCTCATTAGATGGACTCACACAAGGTATTGTGTGAGTCCACACAATTTTTAGCTGCAATTGTTTTTTGCAATTTTGCAAATCTTTCTGTTTGGCATATTCTTTTTTTACAGAAGTGTCTGTTAAAATTTATGTTTTTCCTTTTTTTCTTCCACCTCTGTCTTTTCTTGGTGGTACTTGTAGAAAAGGAGTTATTTCTTCAGGAGAAAATTTTGAGGTAGAATATTCTGGCATTATGAATTCTTTGAAGTTGGGAGTGGAAAGTTCAACATAATGATATGATAGAGTCTTTTGATTTTGAATTTAAAAAATCAACATTGGATTATGTGATAATTGACATTAGAGCTAAGAAAGTTTTCACTGTCTTAAAATTGCTAAAAATCACTGGACAAAATGGAAATATTCCTGTTCATTGAAATCCTGACACTATATTTTTAGGCGTAAATGCTAAAGTGAACGTTATACCAACTAAGAAATGTCATAAATTGTTATGGGTTTATCTGGATTGTTCACCATAAAAGAATTTACAGCATGATTATAGAAGGATTTAAATGGTTCATAGATAGTTCTGTATAAAGATTGTAGCTTGTGGCTGCAGTGAGGTGGCAGCATGACAACCCCTTTTTATTTTGCTAGATCAATCGTCTCAAAAGAAAACTGTCTCATGATTTTCCAAAATCAATATGACCGGTTGCTCATTTGAACATTTTGTTGATTTAATAAACTGTTTGATAATTAAATAAAAACAATAAAACAAAATAATTCTGATCTTTAAAAAAAAAAAAAACTGTCATCCAACCTGGAATGTGAGTTTTCCCAACTGTTCCAGGTGGAGCACCGTGTACCAATAAGTTTTTAAAATGCACCCTAGGAATCACCAAAAATGGAGGAGTTGCATTAATGTGGCAAGCATCCTAACTAGAATACTCCTCTGTGCTAAAGTAATTTTTCCTACCTACCTACCTACCTATTGTCAGCAGATGGCGCATCTTCTTCATCAAGTAAAGACGGAAAGCTGCCTTTTTAAATGAGTTATTGAAATTTTGGGTAAATTAACATGGCTGTCTATATTTACTCCTAGATATTTATAAATGGTATTTTTATATTGTTAAAAACCAAGATTATTGTTAAAAATCTAGATTTTTTGAAAAAGTTGACAATTGCTAAAATACAATCTGTTCTATTTGGCGTACCAAATAGAACAGATTGTATTTTACCACTACTTAGGTTTAAGACTAAATCATTTTCTTCAAAAAATATTGAAATTGAGTTTAAATCGTCATTCATACATTTTTTGATGGTACTAAAATCATTGCTGGCATAGTGTATCACTACATCCTCTGCAAAAATACCTGTAGCTAATTCTGTTGATCCACATATAAGCAGAAGTAAATAAAGCCAGCTTAACTGTTTTAAACGCTTTGTTTTATCATGTGTACAAGAAAATAATAAGTACCTATTGTTAAAGATGCAAACAATATACAAGAAGTCGGAAATTAAAGTGCTTCTTTGTTAGTGTTGTGTCTAAATGTGCTTGTAGATACTACTTCAAAACAATTGTCAATAAAAGAATTCTGTATAATAAATAGAAAACTTTATATTAGCTCAGTCTTCACTAATTTTTAAATCTCATGATCCCTCTTGCTGATATTATTTTGAGCAAACATAATTATGCTTAATGACAACTTATTACAATTTTACAAACGCGAAATAACATGCCAGGCGATTTTCTTTATTTATTGCAAGCCATGTATATATTAGAATTGTATTAATTATATATAACTATAGTTACTACGTATAAATTGTATATTTTGTATTATAAATAAATTGTATTATGATATTATTATTGATATTAAAATAATATATGAATAATATAATAATTTTTTTTTAGTAAATTGTCAATTTCATTTATTAAATTGTCAATTTAATACTTTTTACTTTTTGTTTCAGGAGGGTTTTGATGATGAAGATGAATTAATAGCTCGTTTACGCAACTCGCCTCCATCTCCTCCTCCGACTCCTATCCACAGATTTCTGAAATCAGTAAATATTTATAAAATGAACCAAATTAATGGTTGTATACCTAGATATATTTTGCGTGGCATTGGAAAAGGTTCCTATCATGTATTCGAAGTCAAGGTACTAAATTATCAACACAATTATCATCATCAGAATCATCATTATTCTTATGACAATTAGTCACTCTTTTTATTTTTTGTTTAAAATTTTTAATTAAATTTTAAATTTGAATTTTATTTTATTTAAATTTTAGATTAAAAATTTTAATTAAATTTTAAAATTAAATTCAAGTTTTAAAATTAAATTTAACTAAATTTTAGAATTAAATTTAATTAAATTTTTGATTTAAGAAAAATTACTCCTGGTTATTATAATGATAATTATCTTCTGATAATTAATAACTCAGTCAACAAAACTCCTTTTAAAAATTGAACTTCTTCAATTTTTAAAAGGAGTTTTGTTGACTGAAAAAATTCTTTTTAAGAAGAAAAAAAAAATAACTTTAAATTATAATAATTTAAAGTTAAATTTATTTGGTTCTATTCCTGCTCTGGCCAAACAGGTGAAATGATATGTTAAACAAAGCATACTAGGGCTATTTGCAAAGTTATGTTTTAATGGATATCTTTAAGTATTCTAAATATTTTCTCATTAATACAAAGTTATAAATAACAACACGTCAGCTAGAAATGTTATTGTAGTAAAATAAAAGTTACAAACAGTTTATAAATGTGATATTTACATACATATATATATATATATATATATATATATATATATATATATATATATATATATATATATAATTTTGCAACATGAAAAAGAGAGTTAAAAACAACTTTACATCTTAAAAAAATGTTTGTATAAAACAAACAAAAATAATTTGCTAAAACAGAAAATTCTCAATAAGTTTTATGTTGCCTGTTGTTGATTTGGGAACATTTCTTTTTTTTTTTACTTCTTTTTTTGTTTTAATTTTAGTAAAATAGTGTAACTATATTAAGTATTCAATATCCAAAACCAAAAAAAAAAACTCCATAGTGTAATAGTAATTAAATAGTCTTTAGACCAATAAAATGTTAGTAATACTGCTTAACTAGCAACCTCTCTAATAACATTTTTATCAATTCAGAATGTTTGAATGAATGAATGCTTGAATAAAATGTTTTACTCCACATATATATAAAATTACTAAAACTTTGCAACATAATTTTATAATAGAAAAATTAATGAATTCTTGCATTGATGAAGATTATGGCGTTAAGCTGTTTGCAGATGATACTAAATTAATACCAATCAAAAAATGACTACAATAACATTCATCTTGTAAATACATTTGAAAAAATCTCAACATGATTAGTGGTCCATAGTCCAAAATCAAATTGGTTATTTTACATTTAAGAAAAAGAATTGCTCATAATACAAGCTGAAAACGAACAAATATGATGTTTTGCATGTATTGGTATTTTAATGAAAAAATGATCTTTCAAAACATTAGCAATTTTTTTTTATAACTAATAAAAAAACAATTAAGTGTTTGTTTTTACGGTCGGTGATTTCATACTGGTTTGGAAATGAAACTTTATAATATTAAAGATTTCCATCTTACAATCAATTTTTGTGGGTATTAATTCTTTAGACTTGCAGGAAACAAGTATAATTTAACTTTTCAAGAAACATATTATCAAAGATTATAAGAATGGAGTTGAACAAAAAGAAATTGAAAACAAAAAAGCTTTTAATTTCTTCAAAGAATCCAAAAGCTAGAATTAAACTTGCAAATGCTCATAGACAATGGACTATAAATGATTGGAAAAGAGTATGCAATAAATCAAAGTACAAAAATGCTTATGGCAATTTGAAAGAATGTAGATTTAAAGGTAAACTTTAATTATTTTTGTTCCTTGTAATCAAGTTTTAGCACTGATGATTAAAGCAGTTCCTATTTTATTCAAGAGTTTTTGACATTGGTTACCATTGAGTTCCCCTCCATGCATTCGAGGCCTTTGGATGCCCAATTTATTTGACCAGTCAGTAGCTTTAAAGAAACAAGAAGCAGTTCAAGTGATCAAAAAGGCAGTTGGTAATTCCAATAACCATGTGCAACTCCATGACAGGCAGGAAATAAATAACAAGTGTCAGGCCTTCTTGTAAGAGGCTTGCAATCAGACGCTTTATATGACCACGCATGTAGTTCTTTGTTTTAACAACTTGACCACGGCTCTTTGAAAGTTTCGATAATTAGCGTGTTTCAAAAATGCGCTTAAAGAAAACAAAGCAAATGTAAATGCAATTTTTAATTTAATTGATTCCATAATTACAATTAAACTGCCACAAAATTTCCTGAGTACTTTAATGCGACTTAATAAAAGCAATCGTTGAAAAAAATATTCAGATTAGAGTTGAAGACAAAATGAATACAGAAAATATCAAAAAATTATTACAAACCTTTTTATAATGGAACTATAATTTCTAATAAAGAAATTATTTACTAAAAAAAAAGAATTACAATAATCTAGAAATAGTTGCATTGACGAACGTCTCATTTAAGAGATTTATGTCAAACAAATTTCAAATAATTTTTATTCTAGTTAATAAGTTATCAAATATATCAAAGATGCTTGGTAAATCTATTCAATTGTTATTTTTCAAAAACTTTTTTTTTACGCATTTGCAAAGCGTGCGCAAATTAATGATAAACGCACAATAAAAAATACTTTTAAAAGTGTTTTTAATATGGAAACAAACATTATTTCAGTTTATGGAAAATAAGAAAATTAAAAAAAAAAAGCATGCACAATTTTATTTATAATGAAATCATTTGCTTTAAACTTTTAATGTAATTACTAAAAGCAGAAAAGAAACCAAGCTTAAACATTACGATTGCTTTCTTCAATAAAAGAAAGCAATCAAATTGTTTAAGGACGGTTTCTTTTGAAGTTTTTGCAAAAGCATCTATTTTAAGTAAAACTATCATATTTTTGTGAGCGCATGCTAAAACATAATTACTTTTTTTTTATATATACTTAAAAGTGACGCAATTGAAAAAAAAAAATTTGGCATTTTTTAAAAAAGTCTCTGCAATTAATTTTTTTTCATTTTAAATATGTATTTTTTGTAATAAATAAAAAACTATTGATCGCAAAATTATTTTGAAAAAATTGCTGAAGTAACGCGTTTGTTTTGAAAAATCTTAATCAAACAGCAACGTTTGCATAAGCAAAATTAAAGAAACGTGATGTTTGTTTTTCTGTCTGTCTTAAAGAAATGCGCGCACATTTGTTGATTTGTTGCACCCTGTATCCTTTTAACTTTTTAATGAAATTTTAAATTTGCACCACAAAATTTTATTAAATTTCATTATCCTTTCCCTCACTATGGATCCGCCCTTGTATTAGCCTATTTATTCATGGGAAGGAATGATAAAGATTATTAGAGCTGTGATTTTTTCACTTTTGCTTCCTATTAAGTTTAAATTAATTAATACGTGTTTAATTTTTTTTCTGTTTTTTTCTTTATTTATTTTATCATTCTTTAAATATTTTACTTTTTTAGGTTAATTTTTGTTATTTATATTATTTTAAGGATTTTATTCTCTTTTCAGTTTATGGATTATTTATTTTAATTTGCTTTGTTTTTTTTAGCACAATTTTTAAATGCGCTAATTATCAAAACTTGCTATGAGCCGTGGTCAAGTTATTAAAACTAAGAACTAAATGCGTGGTCATATAAGGTGTGCGATTGCACGCCTCTTAGGAAAAGGCCTGAGTGTGTGATCTGGAAGCTTAATCAAAGGGAGGTTCAATCAACTTTTGTATTAAGCTGTGGAGAGCTTTGAAGTTTCACACCAGAGGCATGGTTATGTGGATACAGCCTATTCCAAGAAATGCGTTACCCAATTTCATGTTTACAGCTGCTGTGAGAGCAATTTTTTCAAGAGCAAGCATATATTTAAAATTTGATTTCAGTTTTCTTAAGATTCATTTAAAGAATGAATAATTGAGACAAAATAATGAGTTTCTTTACATCAAATAAATAATAGCCAAAATTGTAAGTTTCTTTACACCAGAATCTTGAAAAGATTGAGAACAAGCCCCTTTAGAATAATAATATTTTTGTTTTCTTGGTTATTTTGGTAATTAATTATTTTCATGCAGAATTTCATCCCCATCAACTCTTATTTTGATCATATTCTCGTTTAGGGTTTCTCAAATATATCAACTAATCCTGAAATGTTAAGGCAATACACTATTCTATGCTGAGCTTTCTTTGTTTGGTTTTCTTTTTTTCTGTGTTATAAGTTTTTTATATTGAAGCCTACTTATTTCATCAGAAGACAGTGGATGTTGAAAAGGAAACTTTTAAGCGATTAAGAAATTTATATTTACTGTAACAGTTAAATCTTTCCCTCTAGTTGCTAATTTGACAGTAGATGTATCACTTGCAGTTTTAACTTTTTGTTTTGTAATGTCAGTTGCAACAATCTCTGCTGCATAAGGAAACTGAATGAGAGCTGTAGACTAGAGTATAAGTGATTTTAATAATAAATTGTTATTCTTCAAAACCTATTATATATTAAGCGGTTTAACTAGGAAGTTCACACCTTTTTCTTTTTCAATATGATGTAATTTCATTGGGCTAGATTCTATAGGACTTTTTGAGTTATCTTAGATTAATATTCATCCACAAAAAAAATGTTTATGTTAAAACCACTTATAGTTCTCTTAAATAAATATTCTTTCTTAAAAAAAAAATTATCAAAATTTATTTATTTTAGTTACGAATTGGCAATATTAGTTGGACAGTATATCGTCGCTACCGGCAATTTCGTGAACTGCATAGACAAACCCTTCGAAATCATCCAATAGTAATAGTTTCTTTTTAAGTGTTCAATGTTTATGTGTTAATATGCTTTGGGTAGGGGAGTTATTTTATTAAATTTATTTTATATACATCTATATATATATATATATATATATATATATATATATATATATATATATATATATATATATATATATATATATATATATATATATATATATATATATATTATTCCATAAATTTAACTTATATCTATAATGTACGTACGAAGTAAAACTTTTAATTTCGAGTTCTTTTTCTCTTTCGCGCACCTGTACACGAAATTAAAAATGTTTTACTTTTTCAATGACCTTTTCTGCATATATACTTATTGTATATATGCATTGTTCTGCATATATACTTATATACAAAATTGAGACTCGTAAAATTCAAAAATAAAAAAAAGGATAAATAACAAAATTTGATCAAGTCATACAAGAAGACAACTTTACGTCAATTACGTAATATTTAAAACGATTCGATCCATTTCTCAGTTTCAAATGTCTTGATCAATCAAATCTAAATAGAATGTGTTTGCTGATTAAACACTTTGAACTCTTTCTACGTACTTTTATGTTTTTAATTGATCCTCTACCCCATACTTGCATACGTACTTTATAGATAAACCTTTTTATAAAATGTAATTTTGCAAAAAAAATGCAAAAACGATAGAAATGATTTTTCTTTTTTAAAGTATATCTTTTTATCATAGATAGGAAATTTGGAATTTCCATCGCGTCGATATTTTGGTAATCTTGCTGAAGATTTTGTACGCGTAAGAAGAACCCAACTTGAGGTACTATCATTTGAATCTTTTTCAATTTTTATGCTTTTTATCTATATATATATTTTTCCAGCTTTTTTAAAATGTTCAAGAATCGCGTTAACTTGCGGTCATGCGAGATTTTTTCAATTTTGGTTATTTTTTTTTTAGGCCTACCTCATAGCTTTCCTTGCAATTCTTTCAAACGATCCAACGTGTCGTATTTACGCAATCAGTCATCGATCGCTAACTAAACAAGATTTAGCCATTTTTCATCCATTTTTTAAAGAAGGTATTTACGAACGTAATAAAAATGATTGATTTCATACAATTTTACAATTATTTGAAACGTTTAAAAAATTTTTAAAACAATATATTTATATAAGTTTCAAAATTTTATTAACTTTCAAAGGATGTTCATATCTTGCTAATCTTTTTTTTTTTAATTAAAAAAATTATTTTAATATATGGAATTTGTGTTTTTTTATTATAAATTTTTTTTTTAATTTTATATATTACTTTTGTTTTTATCATACAGCCGAAGTTTTATTCTCACAAACCTTTTTGAAAAGTCATCAGTTTTATGACATTTTTCTGCAATGACAATTTTTCTTCTATTTTATAAGTTTTATTGATTTACATTAAAGTAATGAAAAATTATGAAATTTTATTTTTATTTATTTATTAAATATATTTATATATTATATCTTTTAAATTATCATGCTTTATAGTTGTTGTTTTTTTTTTTTCTGTAAAATTTTTCTGCAGCTTCTATATGAAAACAAGAGATCTTTTTTATTCAAATTATTTACGTTTATGGTAATTTATATTTATTATTATTTTATATTTTGTAAATATTTTTTCTAAATTTTACGTTTTTTTGATTTCCTAAAATTTCCTAAATATTTGAACTTGATTCAATTTTTTTGTTCCTAGTTGCTTGTGGCAACAAGTTTGTTCCCATAGCAATAAAGATTTTGCTCTATATTGCTTTCAGTCTGTAATGCTCATGGAAACATACAATGCATTTTTTATGTTCTGAATTTTTTTTTTCAATGTAGTTAAATTGTAACAGTTCACTTATATGTTTTACTCAAGTAATATTATTTTAAAAATTTTGTACTATCAAAATTATGAAAAGTCTATTTATTTAAAAAGACTTTTCATAGTATTTTTGAAAGTAATTCAGATCAAGAGAAATTCTAAAGTGCAAAGTGAACGAAAGTGCTAAGTGCAAAACTTACAACAATATTTGGGCAATTAACAAAGGCTGAAAATGTTTCATGCAACGGCATATAATAATGAAATGTTTAAGGTGGTTCTTATGTAATCAAAAAAAGTTATTTTCCATTCATTAAGCATTAATTTTCTCAAAACTAGGTATAGAATTTTTAAAAAAAATATTTTTTGAATTCTAAAAATATACTGATGATCACATAGAGGCCTATAAAAGTCAAAATAACCTCTAAAAATAAAGTTTACTAGTAACACAATTACTCATGAATAAAAGCTCATTTTACTATCGAACTTGATACACTTGTATGTGCTACATGTATCTAGTACGTGAGTTTTTTTTATTAAAAAATCTTGTTTCTACCTAAAGTTATGCTTCAAAACAACTTTATTTTTAAAAAATCTGCTACTAGGCCTCTGATCTTAGTTCCCAACTTACACCGCAACTTACAAGTAATAAATTTATTTAAAAAAACTCAGGTACTAGTAGTACATTAGATGAATAAGCCCTGAAAATTTTAAGTAGTAATCTTATTAATTCAAAAGTTATGATGTTTTTTGTGAGACAATTTTCTTGAAAAACGATATGACAGAAAAACAAGAAGAAAAAAATGTTTTTAAAACTAAATCCCTCCTTTTAAATAAGTTTCTCCTCCCTCTTTATCCAAGTCTTTATCCAATAAACCCTTCCTGATTTTTTTTTTTTTTTTTTGCTTTTGTCTTATCTGATGTTTTAATAAGTAAATTTTGGATGCGGTTCATTTTTTCAAATGTAATATTAAAACAGTCAACTGTCTGTATTCCAAGTCTTTCATACATTTAACAAGTCCAAGTGATTTAGTTTAAACCTTTAAATTGTTTTCAAAAAAAGTATTTGAAATCTAATATATCGAATTCCATGTTCAGTAAATGCCGTTTTGAATCATCCTTAAAACTTTGCAAAGTGCAGTTTAAAACGAAGTTTTGTTTTTTACTAAAGATTGGAAGAAATTTTTTCCAAACTAAAGGTCCCCGATATTGAATTTGGTACGAACTTAATTTAAGAAGGTTTATGGGAACCACAAAGTTATTCACTGAAAATTTGGTTGGATATTTATGGAAGATTTCATTAAAGTAGGATTGAAATGTTACTGGAGAAAACCCAAGTTTTGCTTTAAACATAAAAAACATTACTTGATGAATATTAAGCTTATAAACATTTAAAGCTCCAAGCTGACGTATAAGAGGTTCGCATTGTGTATCTCAAATACTATCCTGCAAGCATGTTTTTGTTTATGTTACTATAAATTATAAAATATAAATTATAAAAATATGTTTTTGTTACTATAAATTTTTTTGAAAATGAAGAATAGCTGTGTATAAACAAAAAATATAAATTTTTTAAAGACTCGTTTAATAACGAACAAACCTTTTCTTAATAGAAGAGCTTTGTTCGATATAACATGGCAATATTTTTTGAGATTTTATCTTCAATATATTTAATATGAAATATCCATGACAATTTCTCATCTAAGAGCACTCCCAGAAAGTTTGTAGTCAATTCCCTTTTAATTATTTTATTATTGATTAAAAGATTGGGTAGTTTAAGAGGAATATTCTCGGCTTTACTAGGTTTATTAGGATAGGTTTAATAGGATAAATTTTGTTTTCTCTACATTTAATGATAGTCGGTTACTTATAAACCACTTATTGATCTTATCTAGTTCTTTGTTAAATATTTTAAAAAGAACAGTAATATCTTTGTGAGAATAAAAAAAATTAGAGTCATCTGCAAATAAGATATTATTTAATACTTTTGATGATAAATATAAGTTATTTATATAAAGTAAGAACAATAATGGTCCCAAAATAGAACCTTCACAAGTTATTAAGTTGTTTTTTGAGTCTTTTGATTCTTTAAGTATAAATTGCTTTCTGTTAGTTAAGTATGATTTAAACCAAAGAAAACTTTGATTTTTAACATCATAGTTTTCAATTTTTTTCAAAAGAATTTCATGATTTACTATGTCGAAAGCTTTGGATAAATCAATAAAACCCCCTATTGTATAGCAATCACTATTAAATTAATTTGATATATGCTTAACCAATTCAATTGTTGCATGGTCAGTAGAATGATTTTTTTTAAAACCGTATTGATTATTATATAAAATCTTATTTTCAGATAGATATTTATAAAATCTGTTGTTCATAATGCATTCAATTAGTTTAGAAAAGCAGGGTAAGACTGAGATTGGTCTGTAGTTTGAAATATTGGTCTCATCGCCAGATTTAAAAATAGGTGTTATTTTTGCAGTTTTTAGTTTATCTGTAATATGACCTGATTTAAGGGAGAGATTAAAAATATGGAATAATGAGGGTTCGATAATTTCAAAAACAGTTTTAATTACATTAACATTAATTTGATCTATACCTGCACTTTTATTTTTTTTTCAGACTATTAAAAGCAGTATGTAGTTCACTTTTGGTTAAAATCGGTTTTTCCATAATTAAATCAGTTGTTGCAAGATATGAATCAAATTTTTTTTTTGACCAACTGGAATTTTCGCTGCTAGGTTTGGGCGAACATCAAGAAAAAAATTGTTTAATTTCTCAATAATAACTTCTTTATGATAAATCATTTTGAATAATCAATAGAATTGATCTTTCTACAAAGACTTGCTTTGGGCATTTTATCCAGATAATATTATTCAGGGACTCATTAGCATTTTGAGTTTCCCCAAGGATGCACTTGAGAAGAAGGTCATCATTTAAAAGGTCTTGGAAAATCTTTGACAAGATAGGAAACATCCACTCTGGTAAATTAATCCTCTTTTTTTGTTTTTTAAGTTTATTATTTTTATAACTACACCACGATTCTTCTTCTCCTGGTGGACAAAACATGTGGCGCTTATCTAATTTCGAAAAATTGGTACAATGATAAAGGATAGCACCGATCCACTTTTTTATTGGGTAAATTTTTTCATTGTTAGTACAATTTAATTTTAAACTTCTTCGAATGGCAATACCATAATTTCTTATTGAATTGATAGAGTTGTTTGTCAATTTTCCTTTTCCACCAAATGGTGTAGAGGTATTTTTATATTCTTATACTAGTGTCCTAAATTGATAAACTTTTCGTTTGTTTTATAGGTATTACACTAATTAAACTTGAATGTTCAATACGTTCAAGTTTAATAGATGTAATACCTATAAAACCTGAGTTAACAACTTCTTTGTAAGACGCTGTGTCTCCATCTCCAAGATACTCGTTATAAACTAATTTTCTTCGACTTACAGATTGCTGAAATATATAAATAGCACCTGAGGACTCCATTGCTCCTGATGACATTCAATTGTTAATTTTACAATTATGTGCAACTTTCCAACTTGTGTATTCTGTTGTCCCTTTTTTTCCACCTCATACTGTACACTGTCTACAATGTTTTGATAAAACAATAACATCCATCCACTTTCCTTTGCTTATTGCTGTCACTGCACCGTTCAACGAGAAGTATCCTCTATTTTGCCGAGTTCCATCAATCGATACACGACAAGAATATATACCTGAGACAATTTCTTTCATTTTTGTTTCATTTGCAGCATTTTCATACATTCTATTGCAGAATTTTTGTATGCAGAAAACTTTACCGTTTTCTTGAAATGCCATAACCAATCGAATATTAATTTCACTAGGCTTACAACCATACATATTTTCAGAAGCACTAAAAGGTGAAGTAAACTTGTGATTTTTATTTTTACATTTTCTACAAAAGTAAATAACTTTATGAGAAAATCCCTTTCTATCATCCAAATTATTAGATATTGTGACATTGGCTTCCCCACATTCTTGACACTTATTTCCTACTGCTATTATTTCTATAAGTATTTTAAATTTATAAATAAAAAATAATCATCGCTACTTTAAGAATGTTCAGCTGGTTTAATAGTAAATTTTTATTGATACTTTCAATATTTACATTTTATACAGATTTTCTACCACGACCACCAACACCCTTTCTTGAAAACTTTTTTTGTTATACCGAAGGTTTGCCATATTAAAAATATCATTTTTTTTTTATTCATCTTTCAATTTCTTCAAGTCAATTTCAAGTTTGATATATGATCTAGCTTCTTTTTAGCAAAAATTTCTTTTTTTCTTTTAAAATCTTTTGCTTTTTAATTTTTCTCTTTTCACTAGCTACCTTTGCAGCCCTATCTTCAAGCTTTGCATTATAAGCCTCCTCTGGGGTCAGAACAAAAAACTTGAAACTAGAGTTTTTTTTGTTTTGTTGTGGAGAAGTATATGTAAGAACATCTAAATCTTTGTCCGACGAACAAGATGAATCAGTAAATGGAAATGGAAGATCTGTTATGCAAATTTTTTTATCATTTGAATCTAATGTTGATTCAGTTACTACTACTTCTTCAAGAATTATTTCTGAATCACTATTGTCTTGAATAGAAAAATCAATAAACTGATTGTCTCGTACTGGTTTGATTTTTGCATAGCTGTGTTCTATTATAATATTGCCTTGAATGAAAAAATCAATTAACTCATTTTCTTCCATTGGTTTGGTTAAAGAGTGTGAGTTAATTTTATATCTGCCATCTGATAGATCAAGCAATAATGAAAGGTTGTTTAATTTCGACATGTCACATACATTTTGAACTGGAACGGTATCTGAAATATGACTATATAAAATATTTGGGATGTACACCTCATTAGGATTAACATCTGGATTAAACGGATAAATTCCACAAGCTCAAAATCCAGAGCGTATATTTGCATCAGTCATTGCATATTTCCATGCTTTTGAAAATAAACCACAAAAGTTAGAATGCAAGACTACTATACCTGGGTAGTCGTTCATCATTGTTTGGCAGACCTCAGAATAAGCAGTTTTTAGTGGCTTAAAAACTGTTCTGTCACAAGGCTGCAACCAGTTGCTGGTGTGAGCTGGAAGCTCAACAATTTCAATTTGGTTTACAATAGCCAGCTCAATCATTTCAACAAAGTTGTGTGAGTCATGTCCATCTAGGATTAGAATCTGTGGTCTTGCTGAGCCAATATTTGGAAGAAATGTTTTCTCAAACCATAACTCCGCAATACCTCGTTTTGTCCAGCCCTTTTCAGACACACTCCATGTTGCTCCACTTGGAGCATTTTCTGTATCAAAACCATAAAGGGTACGTACAGTTTTTCCTTTCCCTATTATATGAGGTGGTATTACTTGACCAGCAGCATTTAAGCAACATATGACAGTAATTATCTTTTTGTTACCACTTGTTCGACTCTGGATGTATTTTGAGCCTTTCCTGGCAACAACATGTCTTGCTTTATGCTCTAGTTGCATCCCTATTTCGTCCATATTTCACATACATTCTGGTTTGTCCAGTAAATTTTTGTTTTGTAAAAGAACTTCTAAAGAAGTAAAGTATTTGGAAACCTTTACCCTCTCCATACACATGTGTCGTATAGAAGCTGTAGCTTCTGGACGACGAAGACTCAGACAACCATATCTCTTTTTGAGTAGCTGCCACCACTTTTCACTAGGTAGACCATTTTTGAAACTAATGTTATATTTTTTAGCAAGTTTAGCAACATAAATCATAAATGTTTTTTTTCCAGAACTAATTCCCATTTAGGCACAATTGTCAGCATAATCAATTAGTTTTTCTTCAAGAACCCAGCACTGGTTGTTTCCCTGGTTTTGCTCCTATTTTGGACTTTCCAGAAATCATAGTTTGCAGAGTCGATCGTGAAATTTTATACAATAAACTTGCTTTCCGCTGAGACATACCTGATAAAACTGCACGTACTGCTAGTTACATGTCATTCTTAGTCCACAGCATGCGTTTTTTTATTGTTGTTAAAAAAGTTGGTTTCATAATACCGTTTGATTTGATTTTCAAATTGTTTTTTAATATTTGTTTTCTCATATTTAATTTTATTATATACTAAAAAATAAAAACATGTATTCATAAAATACTTTTAGAAAAACTTTTTTCTTTTATTAATGGTATATTTTTTATTAAATCAAAATTATCAGAACATATTTAACTGTAATTATAATTAACTATAATTTTCTAAGCTTATTCTACTTGAAAAGTAGAATGAACTCAGAAAATCAGAAATTGATTTAAAATGTGGATGTTGTTTACCAGTTAACTATCGAATTAGTATCTTAACTTTTTTCACTCATAAAAAATAATTAAGTGTGAGCTCACGCTTTTTCTCATGAGAAAATCTTATACAAAAATATTTAACTAAATAATCTGATACCATTTATTGAACATGGCCAGTAAATGGATTAAATAACCGGGCAATAAATGGTGCTTTAGGAAAGGTTTAATCTAGTTCAGTTAAAACATTATATGTGAGGTATCAACTAAATAATTTTGTTTCAAAGTGTACATAAGATATTTATCATTTTTTTTCGTTCCTGAATGGACAGCCCCAAATACTTGTCGCGCATAAAAAATGACAATAAAATATGAATTTACGAAAACAAAGTGTAAATAGTAACATTTAATCTGATGTTTTTCCGATTAAATTCTAGCGACTAAAACCTTATAGAATTTTCTGAAATTGCGAAATTTAGAAAGTTTTAATAAAGTCATTGAGTTTAAATGATAATTTAGTACAACTTGCGCCATAGATTCTTGTGAGAAAAGCTTTTAAAAGTAGCCCGTAAATGGTTAATGGCCAGTAATTGGCGTATTTACCCTTACTTATAATTATTGGGAAACGTTAAATCCAGTCCGTCAAAGTGCTGTTTGAACAGTTTTTAAAAATTCTAGACCCGATTACGGCATTTACAATGTGATGTAAATTAGTGATGTAAATTTTCCGGAAAATTTTGATTTAAAATTTACCGGTAAAACTTACCGGTAAATTTTAAATAGGAATGGGTAAATTTTCCGTAAAAATCTTTTTGTCAAAGATAATTTTTTTTTTTTTTAAAGAGAAAACTAACAACTAAGAAACCATTATGTCTTATCAAAGAATTCATCCACATAGAAATATGTATTTTTTAAGTTGGTTTTCCGTTTCCAACATTTCCAATAAAGCTAACAAGCTTCAACCACATAAATGTTTTCTAAGTAAATTTGCGGAGCGTAAATAATGTATACAGCCTGTGTTTTTGTTGTTTATATATTTACCTCTCCAAGGCTGTTAGTTCTATCACATTCCAGGGCCGACAACCCCGGGAGGGGGAGCCAGGGGGAAATTCTAGTTATAGAAGATTTTTTTTTAAGAATTGACAATATTGCCCTTCCCCCCCTCCCCCACCGATTCAAAACTTGTGTCATTGGCCCTGCATTCAAGCAGACTACTCATTTTTATTTATTCGTTTTTTATTTAGTTTTTATACAACCCTCTCTAAACTCTTTAACACTAAACACAAGCCCAATAAAGCTGTATTGAACATGGTGGTCATTGTACTCAGAACTAATTTCTGATGATGCGAGCACTCTACCACTAGACCACTAGCGCATTTATTTAAGCAGCCATTTTTGACCGTACTTTCACATCAATACATACACTGAAAATATGCTTTAATATTATTTTAAAATTAGTAGTTCCTTATGAAAAAATATGTAGATTCAGAATATAGTATTTCATATCGAGGTTCTAAAGTATGGAATACCTTTCAAAAAGGATTCAAAGGTACGGTAAATTCGTTAAGTTCATTCAAGTTTATAACAAAAAAAGAAATTTTTAAAATTTGAGAAACTTTTTTGGTTAATGTTACCACTCTACCTTTTGTTGTTGTTGTTGCTTAACAATCTTATTAGTGAATTACGCATTTTATTACGATATTTATTACGATATTTAATTGAAATTTTATTACGTATATATTTTACGAAATGTTTTATGAAATTTTATTACGTAATACGATATTTTATTGAAATTTTGTTAAAGGGGCTCTATGAAAAGATTGCGATGACGTACTGTCATCCTCATCTTCTTTGAGCCCCTGTCTGTTTTTACTTACTTTTTTTTTTTTATGAAGCACGAAGTTGTAAAATTATTATGTTATAAAACAGAAAAAAAAAAAAATTACATAGCATTACATAGATGTAATGCTACAGAAACGCCTAAAGAAAAGGCATACAGGGGGAACATAGCGACTTTCTAAGATAAAATTTCATTTATCTCAAAAGTGAAAATGTGTGGCACGTGCCTTTTTTCCCCTGTAGTCTTCATATATCAGTCATTGATAAGAATAAATATTTTCAGTGAACCAAGCTTTAAAAATCGTCAATCTATAAAAAAATCTTGTAAATTTAAATTTATCATAAATTGGGTATTCGTTTATAGTAAATTTTCACCATTGTATATAACTTTTATAAGTATATTTGATCCTATAAAAGTTATGATGTAACAGCTGTTAAAAAATACACAGTTGACCGCGAGCCACACTAGAATTAAATTGCTTATTTCATGTTCTGTAAAAAATTCCCACTTACCCAGTTTATTGAATTTTAACTAAAATTACTCCCCTCCACCCAACACTACCACCCCCACTCTGTCAGCCCTAGTATAGCACGCAAGAGTATATGAAATTAAAATATTATTAAGTTTTAGAAAATACACATTTCTTTCAAAAATCAACTTCTTCTTGTTCATTATATTCTTCGTCACTATTGCATTCTTCAAAACCTTCTGTGACTTCTGAATCAGAGCTATCCCAAGAAGATACCAAAGATACCGTGTCAGTTCTTTGGATCTTATGAAGTGGTTGTGAATCTAAAGAAACTTGTTCTTGTGTATAATTAAACATTTATAATTTATAATATTTTCATTAAAGGTGAAGAATGAATATTTTATATTGAAATGGCTACATAATAAATGATGCTCTGTTACATCAGAACTAAAATTATATATTTTTGCAGTGCATATTCTTTATTACTGCGCTCAACTGCAGCTGATGAGGCAGGTAATGATAGCAGCTTAAATGCAATATTATGTAAAGGTTGTCCTTTACAGAATGCAGACCACCAATGTAATGGGTCAATGGTAATGTCAACTGCTTCCCAAATCAATTTATTACCGTAAACCTCTCCAGATTGGGATTTAAAACGCCATAAAATCTTTCATAATCTCCCCACTTAATAACTGAAATTCTAGTCCTACTTTGACGATTGTTATAAGACCCTGTCTTTTTTCTGATTCTATCAAATCATTTCCCATGAATCTAGGATCCAAAAGATTTGCTGCTTTTTGAATATCACGCACACTAAATTTTCTACGTTTTTCAACAGCCTCAGTTATCAATTTTATATCATCTTGAGGAATTTCACAGTCACTATTTAATAACACTTCTTTGAAGATGTTGGCAACATAGTTCCATAAACGAGGCATTACAGATGCACGAACAAGATCTCCTTCTGCAGATTTAACTGCATTTCGAATTGCTGCCAGTAGTTTTTCGCAAAACACACTTATTGACCAAAATGACACAGTGTCATGTAAAGTATTCTTCACAGAATTTAGTTTTGCTTTATCATGTGCACTTAAAGCATAAACTCGAACATCCGAAATTGAAATACGCAAAACATCTTGAAGATTATTATTTCTTTTGATCATAGTAAAAGCAGTTGACCATCTTGTAGGCATACTTTGTAGGCAAACTAATTTAGACTTTTTCAATGTCATTTGATGTTCTAATATTACATGCTTTAGAACTTGCTTCTTTCTAAAGAAACTAGACACTTTCTTGTGTTGAAGGTGGTTAAACTGAACAGACGGAATCTTAAGTATATCTGTAGCCAGAAGCTCCAGTGCATGTGCCCCACACCCATAACAAAAAATTTCTGGGTGTTCATGTTGTACCAACTTCCATGCCTTCGTCATATTTGATGCATGGTCTATAATGTACAGCATGGTCTATATAAAGGCAATAGGTTTAACATGAATTTCCTTAATTACAGAGTTAGTGATGTCAAAAATATACTCAGCTGTATGATGATTGCTTTCAGGATGAAATGACTTAAGATATATCGGTTTTGGTGTGGAAAGAAGGAACTGTATGTGATTATCATTGCAAACATCTGACCATCAAAACACCATCAGACATCAAAACATACAAAACACCATAAGACATCAAAACACACCCTAAAGATTTTTTTATCAAAACTGAATTTTCAGTATATATATATATATATATATATATATATATATATATATATATATATATATATATATATATATATATATATATATATATATATATATATATATATATATATATATATATATATATATATAAATTCTATAACTTTCTGATACATGTAAATTTTATAACAAAAAAGAAAAAGAAAAAACAAAATAATATGCGCAGATTTTAATAGAAATTTATTT